CAACTAACGCATGAAACTATTATTGAAGTAGACCAAAGCCTAGATCGCCTTACCAGGTAATGGACCTGAGTTTGAGCCTCCTTTTGTTGGGAAGGAGCGATGACTTTCGGAAAAAAAATAAAATAAAAAAATGAAGAAGCAAGTAACACATGAAACTATGGAACCAGTATCACTACAAGGACTTCAAGCCAAGTGGATTGGAAAAGCTATTAAGTTATTATCTGCCTTGTCAACCCCATCATGCATATCATCCAATTCAACCAGATAAATCAATTAAAAAAACAGCAAAAAAGTGTCTCTAAATAACATAAATAACCAACTATGGAACCAGTATCACTACAAGGACTTCAAGCCAAGTGGATTGGAAAAGCTATTAAGTTATTATCTGCCTTGTCAACCCCATCATGCATATCATCCAATTCAACCAGATAAATCAATTAAAAAAACAGCAAAAAAAGTGTCTCTAAATAACATAAATAACTGAAGTTTACATCTTTTTTGCCATATATATGCGTGCTTTTGCAAATTCAGGGTCCATATATGGGACACCGCGATGGATACTAGGATTTTGCATCTGACCAGGTAGAGGATTTCCATTTTGCTGTGCCAGCTTGGGCACTGAAGTACCAGCTTGGTTCAGTGCCTGTCCCGAGATCTGCCCTGAAAGGTGGTGTGCTGGTAAATTCATCTTTGCATAGGCTAATGAATTTGTCCTTCATAAAACAAATAACCAGAGATCCAAAATTTAGACAAACAACATAATATGCCAATTGGAATAATGCATCCCTAATCAGTCATGTTCCATAAGTAATGCCACCCATATTGTCTGACCAGGGTACCTGCAATGGGAAAAGATGGGTCATGACCCAATGAACGAGCATTCAGAAAAGATAGTCTCATAAAATTTCTAAATCAAATAGCCAGTGTTGCAAGATTGCAAAATTTGGGAGAAGCTCTCCTGTTCCCATTGTTTATATGCAGCGCACTTTTCATTTTATTGTCCCCATATCCTAGTCCATTTGAAAGGTCAATGTGTATTTTCTGCGAGATGCTTATATTTTTTCTCCTCTAAGAACAAAAGTTGTTTTCATCACTAATCAGACTTGTTAACTGGTTTCAGAAATACTGTTCATATGCTATTCCAAATGTTTTTCTAATATTTTTATCACTTCTTTTAATATTGCCAAACATCAAATTAAATATTCCATAATAACAATTTAGACTCAAGTAACCGAGAATAATGAGTTTAGAAAGCCACCAATGAATCAACTGAAGTTGGTGAATTACTGTTCCATAACAAACGATGGAAGTCCTTAACAGAAGTCTCAAATCATTCAATCAAATTAGAGATGGGAATACTAGTCTTTACTGGGTAAAATTTTTTTATACGTGCTTAATGAACATAAATCACATCAAACAGGATACAGCCTCCTTAATTGGTTCCTATAAGCAGAAGAGAGCATAAGTCACATCAAATAAGCCCCACCAGTATATGCTCTTAAGGAGGAGAAGGAAGCATCTTTCTGTAGTTCTCTTCTTCTAGGCATGGAAAAGGGGGAAAGCACAATCCATTATTTATATACTTTTGCGTGAAAGAGTCAGAACCTTGATTCACTCTTCATAAATGGCTTAGGTGATGCATGTTACTGAAAGAAGCACTTTTCCCGCTTTAAGAGGAAGTGGAAGACCAAGGGTTCTGTGGAAGTACCTTGTGTACAGTCGGGGTGGTTTGGAATCAGAAGATAATAGTTGGGCTTCTAATGCACACAGGAGGAGGAAAACTAAATGCAACTTCTTTTATTCCTCTTACCCTTATGTAACAATCTTTTTCCATTCCTCCCCTATTTTATTCTGATTTTTATTATGGTAGGTATATATGTTATTCTTTTACTACAAAAAATCAAATAATTTGTTCAAATGAAACATTTAACTTGTCAAAAATATGCCCTGAAAGCACATAAATTTCACAGGACCATAAATTCAACTTGAAACTTTCCAGCTGTGCAAACACATGGTTGGATCATATAGCTATAGAAAGGATTAGTGATTCATAGTGGCTTCAGCAATTATGGTAGGTATATATGTTATTCTTTTACTACAAAAAATCAAATAATTTGTTCAAATGAAACATTTAACTTGTCAAAAATATACCCTGAAAGCACATAAATTTCACAGGACCATAAATTCAACTTGAAACTTTCCAGCTGTGCAAACACATGGTTGGATCATATAGCTATAGAAAGGATTAGTGATTCATAGTGGCTTCAGTGATTCATAGTGATTCAAGCTGTTAACAAGATTTCAGGCATTAGAAGAAGGGGAAAAAAATCGAATCCACTGATAGTCAAAATTATAACACTAGCAAGTATAGATGTCTCGTGCTAAATAATCATGCACACAGCTCAAAACAAAATAATTCAATCTAATCATTTGCCACATAATAAATGTCGCAGTAAAAAGCACATTAATAATGAATTCGAGAATTAGATGGAAATGCCCATAAAATCTAGAGGCAATCTATCTTTTCATTTTTAAGCCTCCAGAAGATTACAATCAAAATTACCATTTATCCAAACTTTCATCCAATTCACAATGCAATTAAGGATTACAAAATTGGAAGAGTATGGAAAGATGCAATGTTCTCATTTCCTTCCAATAAACTTCTTAGCACACAAAACAAATTCTATTAGGAAAGTAAAATTCTTTACCAAAATCACAACTGTCAACTTGTTCACATTAAAGAAAATAGGAAAATCAAATATATTTAAGTATTTAATTTCAGTAGCATGCAATTACACGTGAAGGACAATTGGGTCAGTATAAAAACAACAGAAGATATTATTGAGTTTAAATTGTGGCGGCATCAAAGGAATTTGACAATGTTAGGTTTCCATCCAAATTGGGGGAAACCAAAATAAGACATGAATTCTGATTAAATGCACGCTGGATTTTCAAATTGGGTGCAAAACTGACTGAAATTAATTTTAAATAAAAAAAATAAAACTTTTAAATCCAGTGACTTACCAAAATTATGAATATGGCCAAAACTGGAAAGCGGAATAAACAGGAGACAATCCAGCGAAAAAAAGAAAATAAATTAAAATTAAAAAAATCGATGGAATCGAGTTATGAGCTTGAGCTGATGTTAAAGCTTCATCGGCTAAGAGAGGTCTCGGCGAAGATCAGCGACTCGGAGAAGAGAAGGACCCATTTAGAAATGGGTATTTTATTAAAGTCTTTTTTTTTCCCCCATATTTTTTAAAATTTTTATAATTGCCTCTCAATAAACAGGAGACAATCCAGCGAAAAAAAGAAAATAAATTAAAATTAAAAAAATCGATGGAATCGAGTTATGAGCTTGAGCTGATGTTAAAGCTTCATCGGCTAAGAGAGGTCTCGGCGAAGATCAGCGACTCGGAGAAGAGAAGGACCCATTTAGAAATGGGTATTTTATTAAAGTCTTTTTTTTCCCCCATATTTTTTAAAATTTTTATAATTGCCTCTCAATAAGACGACCATTTTCAATTTGACCCTCATAGAATTAATAATTTATTAATTGAGGCCTTTGAGATTCAGCATAAGAGCATTAGAATGTATTGAACATATTTCAATGTAATAGAATCCGAATTCGAATTGTGTTAAATAATGATTGCAATATCACTTAAATTTAGCAAACCTCATAATCAATCACTTTGAGAATAATGAGACGAGTTAAGATCTGCTGTTCAATTTTACTGTCTGTTTTATTGTCTATCTAATTAATTCTTGTCATATCATCAATAATTAATATATTATCTTTGATTTACCGTTATTAATTGAATGGATGGTAAAATCGGACAGTAGACTTCACTCTAATGCGATGGACATTTTATTAGGCATTTGAGATGATAAATGCACATAATTGCATTTGTATTGTGTCTTTATTTTTTTAATGCTGATTAAGAAAAATTGTTATTATTCACGTTTGAATTTTTATTTTTATTCATGTTTGTATTTATTAAAAATTAGAATGTATTGAACATATTTCAATGTAATAGAATCCGAATTCGAATTGTGTTAAATAATGATTGCAATATCACTTAAATTTAACAAACCTCATAATCAATCACTTTGAGAATAATGAGACGAGTTAAGATCTGCTGTTCAATTTTACTGTCTGTTTTATTGTCTATCTAATTAATTCTTGTCATATATATTATCTTTGATTTACCGTTATTAATTGAATGGATGGTAAAATTGGACAGTAGACTTCACTCTAATGCGATGGACATTTTATTAGGCATTTGAGATGATAAATGCTCATAATTGCATTTGTATTGCGTCTTTATTTTTTTAAGGCTGATTAAGAAAAATTGTTATTATTCGCGTTTGAATTTTTATTTTTATTCATGTTTGTATTTATTAAAATATAACTCATATATGTATTAAATATTGTTTGCAGTATTAAATTTATCAAAACTCTTCCACAATCACTTTGAGATTAATGAGATGAACTTTTATTTGGCACATATATTGTAAAGTCTCTACAATCGAATTTTAATTATGTGGTCATTTCAGTACTATCTAAGATATTTTAATGATTATTTTTTCAGTGTATGCGCTTGTTTTTAATTTGTCATAATTTAATTTTAATTATACATTTCATGAGATCCACAATTTTTATTACTATTTAAATTACGAATTTCATTAATTTTTATCAAAATCTGCTAAAACTTTTCAAATCTTTGTCAAATAGTACATATATGAATCTGTCTATTATTTTTAATGATCAAATAAAGTAATAGATAAAGTTAATTTTACAATTGTTAAAGTTTGTACGAAAATTCAAGTTTCTTTTTAGAGTAGATTTCTGATTTATTTAGGTCATAAAATCAACTAATGTTACACTATTACTCACTGTGTTAGTATCAACTAAATCAAAATTGACGTGGCGCAATTAAATTGTGACACAGACAAACTGCCAATAAATATATCTTAAGACAAGTAAATTTATTTTGCAAATAATCACTAAAGTTTGTGCATAATTCCAAATTGTTCCTTAAATTCTTTTTCATTTTTTATTTTTTATTTTTTAATATAGATGTCAAGAGAGAGAGAGAGATGACCATGTAAATGAGGTTGGCCGATCCCAATGAACAACTAGTTCCGGATAGTATAAAATTATACTTAATATGGCGCCAAATGGATTTAAACTCAGCAACTTATCCAGGCAGCCTTGCAATGCCTGGTCAAGATCGGGCAATTGATTGAAAATCCTAACTTGAGACATCTTCCAAGAGGTACGAAAGGAAGCTCCCTCATGTCCTCTAACCAAAAAGAAACAACTCTTCTACTTATTATTGAAATTTGGGTAGTGAGGAAAGTAGAGTAGATGTTGGTTCTTAAGTAAATTTAAGGAAAAGGTCAAGAGATTGATCAATGCCATTCAAAAGGCAAAGGTAAAGAACATAAATTGATATACACCAATGTATAAAGTAAGCTAGCTTGGTGTCAGGTGGTTGTTAATGACAATAGAGAAACAATAGGTAGGAGGAAACCTGCATCCAGCATCCATGTTGTCTTTAAATATTCCGATCTCGACTGTGTTATCATTGTTAAATGCACTTTTGAAAGAAGCGCTCCATAAGCATGATGGGGAACAATTTAAACTTCTTTAATGACCTAGTTAATTTAATATTTGTTGTAATTACTGCCCATTTTTGAAATCTCAAGCAATGCATTCGACCCCAGAAGAGTCGGGGTACTAGAAGGACCAAGGATGACCGATGAGTTTTTGGTCGACTAATTGGTCATATCTCCCAAATTATGGTCACTATGAGGTTCCTTCGAATACCCCAAACAATAAATACTTGGCGATTGGTTGCTCCTATCACTTGACTCACTACTTAAATAAGCCCCCGTTTGGCCCCCATTTTTGGTAATGAAAATGGGAAAAATAGTATTTTGTTAAAAAAATGAGTGGTTGAAAAAGAAAGAAACTTTTTTGATTTACGTATAATATTATTTTATGGAAGATTGTGTGGTTGAAAATAGGAGAGAGAAAAATAGAATGTAATTTAATGGGGGCCAAACAGGGGCTAAATATCTATTTTATATATCGAAAAATACAGAAAGATTAGGGAGAATTGTAGCAACGGTACCAAACTTTTCATTTTACTGCTGACTTGACCCAAACATTTTATTTTTCATCACCCACGTACCACACTTTTCAAAAATTCGCATCTAGAGTCTAAATGGATAAAAACCTTTGATTTAACCGTTAATTGACTCAAATATTAACTTTGACCAATTTAAAAGGGATAAAATAGTAACTTTCAATTAAAAAAATAAAAAACGAAAAGTTATCCATCCCACATCCCCACCTAAAAATCAGCTACCACCATCGCTACTATCCAATGCCACGGTTGGCGACACTAATTTCGATGATTCTTATAGAGTTCAAATTTAGAATTCAGATCCAAAAGTCAATTCTTATAGCAACCAAATTTTAGCTAAAATGGTGAAGGATTATGTTAAAACCTGAAAAAAAAAATGTGAGAAGAAGACTTCACACCAATAGAAAATGAGAGAGGCTTCTAAATATGGCTGAAGAAAGAAGAGAAATTGTCACCACCCTTAACTTTCATATAGCAGGCATGAAAAAAGCCCAAGAAATGGAAAATCACCAATTAATGGAGTTTTCTTCTCAATAATCCTTTGTAGAAAATGAGGCTAAATTGAAATCAAAGAGAAACCCAAGAATTTATCCAAGAAAAATCCGGCCACACCATCGGCACCACTCAAGAAACTCATAAAATTTCCACCAACATTATCAAACCCATCAAGAAAACTCCAAAATTCCTCTATCAGTTTACCACCCAACCACATGTCATCGCCGTCTCCAATTTTTCAATAATTTCTGAAATCGAGCAGAAATGTGAACATTATTGGCAACCTTCTAGCAATTAGTTCATCCATCGCAACATGTAACTCTTCCCACATCTCAATATAAGCTCATTTTCTCGTCTTTTCTTTCAAATGTACCTTCAACCTGACCAACCACGAGTTGGGAGTCGCTGAAAATCTTGATATGTTCAAGTTTGAGGTTGCTAGCTAGCTCCAGAGTAATGAAGATGGCCTTATATTTTACCTTATTGTTGGTCGCTTCAAATTTGAATTTGAGTGCACACTGAACTTCTGTGAGTTTGTATGCGCTGATAATTATGACCCCTGCACTTGAGCCTAAGGAGGTGGATGCTCCATCAAAAAAAATTCGCAAGTGCTCAAGATGTTACTGCTCGGGTTATTTGCTTGCCCCCAAGGCCTTGGGTAGTTCTGCAATGAAATCAGCTAATGCCCATGCTTTAATAGAAAGTTGGGGTTTGAACTCTATATCAAATTCTCCAAGTTAGATTTTCCATTTAATAACCTTCCTGAGACGTCGAGTTTTCACAAGTGTATGCTTGAGGGTTGATTTGTTAGCACCGCAATTGGATGAGATTGAAAATATTGTCATAGTTTTCGTGTAGCAATGACCAAGGCGAGGGCAGTTTGCTCGGCCAGCATATATTTAGTCTCTGTATCAAGTAATACCTTGCTTACATAGTAGATATGTTGTTGAGCATTTTTAACCTTTTTTAATTTCACCCTTTTACCAATACACCATTTAATGCATTATGAGAAACAGCTAAGTAAAAAATAAAGTATCTTTGGGCTCAGATTTTGTAAAGATAGCTGAAGTTGCCAATGTTTGTTTTAGCTCTTAGAAACCTTTTCACGTTCTTCATTCCACTCAAAGCTTTGATTATCTTTGGGAACTTTAAAAAAAGGGAAACATCTATCCCCTGCTCGTGATATGAACCTATTTAATGCAGTAACCCAACCTGCCAATTTTTGCACCTCTTTCTTACTCCTAGGTGTAACTATGGATGTAAGGCCTGTATTTTGTCTGGATTGGCCTTTATCCCTGTGCATGATCATAAAGCTCAAGAACTTTCATGAGGCTACCTCAAATGCATATTTTGCCAAGGTTAAGTTCATCTTATACTTTCAAAGGGTACTAAATACCTCTTCAAGATCAAAGATATGTTGGTCCAACTGTCTAATCTTGATTACCATATCATAAATATAGGTCTCAATATTTTTCCCAATCAAATTAGCAAAGACCTTGTTAATGGATCTTTGATATGTTGCCCATACGTTCTTCAAACCAAATGACATGACCTAATAACAATATATGGTAGAGTCAACTATGA